AGTCTCTAGAAGTGGAAGAAAGTCAAAGCAAAAGTAAGATAGTGACTCACCACCAAAAGCAGGAAAATCCTGTTTCGATGTGTTCTCATGAATTATATCACTCATTACCAACTAGATATTATTTGAATTTCAGAGCCTATGGTGAATTTTGATTCTATCCCTGCTACTTATTGGCATGGTCTAAATCTCGTTTATACGAGTGGAAACACTAATTAATGCAGTCATTGTAAATGTTTCTTTACAACAAGTTATGATCGGCCTAATGGTTTTTGTTTATGCGAGTACAACATATTTTCAACATCGAATAGTATGGTTAAAACTTACTAATATCAGAGCTATGGATGGTTTTGAGTGATTTCAATACATGTTCTGAATGATTTCAATACAGTGATGAGAGCACATGAAAAGCGTGGTGGTATTTTACCCAAGTCTATCTCTTGCAAAGAATTACTTTCTACGATTAGTTCTTGTGAGTTGATAGATATTGCCACTTGTGGGGCTCCGTTCTCATATCGACATGCACTTGGACAGGAGCATGTCATGAATCAATTGGTTTGGTTCTTGGCCAAATTCTTTTTGTTCTCTATTTTTTAGGATATCATTGGATCAACACCCTTTGTTATTTTACTTTAGCAAAATGGAAAGGGTGTGACCTTCGCCTTTCCATTTCCAAAGAATGTGGAAATTTCATGATACTTTTCTAATCGTTGTGAAGGAGTCTTGGGTCTCAGAGGGTATCTATGGCTGCCCCTATGTTCATAGTTATTCAAAAACTTAAACAGTTAAAGCAATGTCTGAGGATTTGAAATAAAGAGATATTTGGAAATGTTCATGTGAGGGTGGAATCGGCTGTCTCCTTAATCAAGGAAATTCAAGACCGAATGGTCGTTGAGGGCTTCTCGGAAGATTTATTTCCAATGGTACAAAATTTTAACAAATCATCCCAATTGTGAAGATATTGTCTGTTTTAGTGCCAATACACTCATGATTTTGTTCCCGAGGATTTTGCCCCAGAAAAAGGCCTTTCGACGATTAAGGGTATGCACACCACATATATAGCCCAGTCATTCCCCCTGCCAAGTCAATGTATGTTGCAAGACATAAAGCTATAGCATCTCCTCACCTCAGAAGGACTTTTGGTAGGCTACTACACTAATTGTCAAGAGGCCTATTAGTGTGCTCACGCTTAATTGTCAAAAGGCTTTTTTTTTGGGGGGGGGGGGGGGGGGGGAGCCCTAGAAAAACAAAACCATAAGGATGTATGGGTACCAAAGCGGACAATATCTTAATAGTTAGGGCAAGTCGTTAAAAGTGATTTCAGAGCCGACTGTCCTACTGTCGGTGTGTGTGTGTTGGGTAGGGGGGGGGGGGAGGGGGTAGACCTCGCTTGGGCCTCACGAGGACATGTGGTTTCTAAGAGGGTCAAGTGTAGTAGCTTGCCAGACGGCCTTATGACTAGAGGAGGTGCTATAGCTTTATGCGTTGCATCCCACATCGACTTGGGGGGGGGGGGGGGGGGGGGCAAGAGTGACTGGCCTATATATGTGGTGTGATTAGCCTTAATTGTCAAAAAAGGCTTTTTTGTGGCAAAACCCCAGAAAGACAAAATCGTGAGGGTGTATGGGCACTAAAGCAGATAATATCTTAATAGTTTGGACAAATTGTTACATAAATTCATCCTATTTTTTTTTGGTCCTAAAAACATCAACTTCTTGACACGACCCCTAATGACGGGCAACAGAATCAACACACTTCCCACTGTCAAATAATCTCATTAATCCACATCTATCTCTCTCTCCATTTTAATTTTAAATTGTGCTATAAAAAAAACTAAATTATTATTTAAATTACAAATATTGCAAGATCAGCTCAATTTTTGATATTGTGTGGTGTCTTTAAGTACGGACTACTGCTAGTTCATATAGACATGATATCTTATAGAATTTTCAAGTTATTTTAATATATAGAAGTCGAATTTAAAGTGATGATAAGTATATTTGCCCACGTGATAAATCGATTAGACACTTTTTCTACATAGTAGGTTAACAGAACATGTACTCGACATGAAATAAACGGCTTACCATTTACTAATTTCCAAAAAAGGAAAATGATATGACCCACAAACCCAAATAATAAATGAATTAAATATTAGCAGTGTCAAACATGAATAATTCTACCTTTGTAGGACAACAAATTTAGCTTGCATAGTGTGAAAAACATTTTTTATGTTTTCTAATTTTTTTTTCATTACTTGATCAGGTATTCTACAAATTTTTATTGAATTGGTGAATTCTTACTTGGTTTTTTAAACATCTAGAGCATGTAGATTTTAATTTATGGAAGGTCAATATGTGGTAATAGAGAAAAGGTCCTTATAAATTACGTATGGTACACATGTTATGTTTGTTGACGTGAACAAGACATGTACATAGACTAGTCGAATTATGGTCAACTACCATTCCATATTATAACAAAAATAACATAGTCGAACATCCAACAATTGTTAACCCTAGCTCAGGGCTAATTAAGTCTCTCATAGTCAAGAAAACAAGAATCAATGTGGACCCAAGTGGTTGTCAAGAGAAGTTAAAACACATACATGGACTCCATACATCATCTTCATCCTTTGCTTCATAGATATTGCATTACACTACTATAAATTTCATGAAGGGAGAGATAGACCTTGTATTTAAGACCTAAGTTTATGGTCTCATATTTCCAAAAATAAAAAATTCCATTGCTTTTAAGGCTGAAAATGAGGTGTATTAGTAGTTAAATTTCTGAAAAAATATACCTTGTTACATATGAGTGACCATTGAAGCACCAATGTGTGGTTCTGGACTAAACCTTATATTTAGAGGGAAAAAAAATTCCTGTCAAGATTTTCACTGATAAACTTTGAGAAAAGATCATTAACAATGTCTACAAAAAGTCCTATGGCATGATCCATGGCATCCTCAAGGCCCACTCTATGATCAGGTGGGGGATGATATGCTTAGGGGGCTTGAGTTTTGATACTATACTGATGATAGAGTGAGTGGAATTATTAGCGATGGTTCCTGGAGTTGGCCTAGGACACCAATCCAAATCCTTGCTGACATGTAACCATATCTAGAAAGAGAGGAATGTATTGAATGGTTTCTAAATATATCAGGTTTTAGCATTCAATCAGCATGGGAGACAATCAGATCTAAGGGGCAGTATCAAAGTTAGACCAGCATTGTTTGGTAAATTCAGTTCCCAGATTTTGTTTTGTCTTATGGTTTTCAATACAATAGATGCTTGCTACGCATGATAGAATTATAATCCATGGGGTGGTCCATAGTGGTCAATGTCTTTTTTGTAGATGAGAAAGTGAAACCCATAATCACCTTTTTTTTCATCTGCCCTTACACTAATAGGTTATGGTTATCCCTCCAACTGAAGTGTGTTGTTCAATGGCCTAATATGAATTGACAGAGTTTCATTCCTTGGTTTGTTGCAACATCAATGGGAAGGGTTTAAGCAAGCTAATCAGAAAACTTACTTTATCTACTTCGTTAGAAGGGCACCGGAGTGTTTTCCGGTGTGACCCCTTCGATGCTCAAGTCAGTATTCGAGAAAGGGTGGGATGCATACCTTTCCTTTGGGCTTAAGTGTGCTATTTATTCCTTCTAGGAATTGACTGAGGCAGACAGTTGGGTCCACTTGGTGGGAAAGTTTCTGGTTGGTTCATACAGGGGATAACAAATGGTATGTAGACCACGATCAAAGTGTTTGCTTTTATCTATACCAGATGATTCCATAGGTCATCAATGATCCTTTGATTCAACGGTACTTCATACCTTGTGAAAATTTTGTCTTCTTGAGGCAAGGGTTCAAGCCCCCTTTCCCCCTCCCCCCTAAAAAAAAGAAAAGATTATTCTACAAATTCACACTCAAGACCTTGAGAACTTAATGTATCCATCTCGGCTCCTCTGAGCATGGAAAGTGTCTCTTATTTTTTCCAAATTTTTTAATGCGCCTTAGGCATGGACAGACATACGCATGGGCATTTTAGCGAATCTCCCATTTGTGGGGTCATGTATTAATTGTTTCATGCACTATACATCTCTATCATTGGTTATTCAATTGCTTTTTCTGATCATTCTTATTGCCTTGGAGGGTCAATAACTGAGAGTTAACCTTGCCCCCAAGCCGTAATGTTCAGAAACTACTTTATCTTGATCAAAAGGCAGGCTTGCCTTATTCAATTATCTCTACCTTTGAAGTCAAAGTTTATCGCCTTACAATGTGGTCGGTGCCGTGGTGAGTCATCAGTGGACGCCAAAGGTATCTCCACCGAGGAGGGGCTTCTCCACTTAGATGAGTTACCTGAGGATGTCGAAGTGTCATAGACGTCGCCGAAGTACACATGACCCCATACCGAGAAAAGATTCACGCGCCAAGAACTTGACTTGCGACGCGTGTTGCTCTCTCATTATTCGCCAAAGTGTCCCATCAACAACCCCCAACCCTTGATCTTCGTACGAACTGGGTGACGTGTTAGATGGAGATGAAAGGACTTGTGTCATTTGGCTTTTCACAAGAGGCGTGTAGCCATTTTCCCGCCTTTGGGGATCGTACCGTATTTATTTGTGCTCATCTTGGAATGTTGGTAACGATGGCATCTTCGACGTATGTGAGTGTTCCACCCCCTCAATCTGTTCGTTATCTTCTCTGTGAGACCTTTTTGAAAAGTTCACTGAAAAATCTACTCAAAGACCACCGCCTTCCATTAGAAGTTCATTAGACCCCTCGAGTTTGTCGAAGAAACTTGAACACCCACATACATTAGACTCCTTTGATCGGGTCTGGGGCTGAACCAGGGAGTGTAGTCCAAGAATTATGGGTGGTGGGTACTACTGGTTTGTAGCACCAGGTGGTGTTGAATTTTGGGCGGGTTGGTTTTTAGCTTGAGAAGGTTGGCAAATGGTATTAATTGTGGAAAATGGGTCGGGTTTGATGATGGGATGGGCTGATTAAGAGATGGGCTGAGTATGCTTATCTTTCGAATTATGGGGCTGGCATATGGTATCACTTATGGGTGGTAAATCATGCACAACATGCCCATTTTTATGGCCAAAAGCCAAAGAATCCCCATTATCATGCTTATCCTCACGTGTAGCAACAAAATCTCTTGCAATATTTGTTTGTGCACGTGGTTCTATATAATGTCTAGGTTCAGCAACACTAAAATTAGGAGATAAATTAATTGGCCGCAAATCAAGTGATTGAGCTAAAGCCAAGGAACTAACCAAAACCTCCTTGCCTTTGCACCAACAACTCTCTATGCATGCACCAGTGGGGGCGGCCAGTGCTACGTTGGAGATGGCAGCAAAGTCAACGTGATGTAGGTCGCTGGCAGTGGGGTGATGAATAACTCCGTCTATATAGGTGTGTGCACCAAGAGGAGGGTCCAGGGGTAGGTCTAGGCCAGCAGTTGGGTCATCGTCGGCGGTCAAATTGGCCAAAGGATTAGTTGATGAGGGTAGTATGTTGGTGATGTTATGCGCAATTGGTGGCTGAACATGTGTTTTTTATTGGAGTCGATGGTTGGCAATCGATGGCTGGTAAGTTAAAGTAATATCAATTTCTGAATGAGAAATAAATTCATAAATTCTTTAACTTACAATGCGATGGGGTATTGGTGGAGTCTGTGGCTGGCAGTTGATACCCCATGCGATGCACGGACTTATAAAATATTTTTGCACTTGTACATTTTTCATGCATTCAGACAATATGTACACCAAAACATCTCTTGTCTCTCATCTGAACAACTTAATTCCAATAATTAACCACTAGAGGAGATAAAGGCATATATATAAGTGGTAGTCATCCCCCTTTCAATGCATTTGAAAGTACAACTTTCATTCACTCCTGTGTGCATTAGAGATTGGGGTAGAACACTTCATTCTTCTATTGAAAAGCTACAGAGAATTGAGTTGGGAACAAGGGGTTGCTATCGTTATTAAGTTTTGATCATCAGAATTACTATTTTCATGTTTGTCGATTACCTTATTTAATTATATGATCATTGGATTTGATTATATAGAATACACTAAATTCATATTTATTAGGGCATAATAAACCCAACAGAGGTCCACCAAGGTCATCCCTCCCTAACACTCCACCCTTCATTCCCACACTTAACCACCATGCCAACCCTCTAACCTCCACCTCTCACCAGTTATTACACCTTATTAATTATAATCTAGAATTTATTGAATAGTGAAAGAAAGAATAGAGTCAAAACATAAGTAACTTGTGATCAGTATCATTAGCTGGACATTGAGAATGCAAAATAATTGTAATATGGCCAATTCTAGAATGACAATATCAAATAGATTGCTAGATCCCAACCTAATATCAAAAAGTGGTATCTGCATAGAAACATTGAAAAGAAGGTACAAGAATTAACATTCTATGAAATTAATGGAGGAATAAACTTAGACTATTACCAAAAATAACTTTTGATTGGTAAAAAGTATAGACCAAGTCCATATGACATGAATACCATCACGACCAAATCCTACTTCAAATACACACAAATCATCCATAGCTCTTTCATTTTGCCATCAACGAATAGATCTATCTTACTTTCATATTACAAAAAAAAAAAACATGGCTCCATTATTCTCATATCTTTTGCATCTTATCATTGAAAAATGCGAAAAAGGATACGTTTGAGCAGGAGGGGTAAAAATTCGAAAGAGAGACTTGAATGAGTGGAGATCTGTATTTTGATAAAATATGGAGTGGAGAGTTAAAAATTGAGAAACATGGACAGTTTAAAATTTGCAATTATTTGTCAATTCAAAACAAAGTTATTCTTATCTAAAAGGAAAAATTAAATGATCATGCAAACACAAAAGAACTAAAAAAAAGATGCCAAGTAAATTTTTTCTAAAACTTTTAAGTTAAAAATTCAGAAAATTAGAGAATCAAGTTTGATGTCCTTTCCTTAATTGTAGATACATTGCTATAGAATATAAAGATCTCTTATCTCTCATCTGGACAAATTAATACCAATAATTAACCTAGAGAGGTCCGCCAAGTTCAACCCTCCTAACACTCCACCCATCATTACAACACTTTTGGAGGCACCTACCTCCAACAACCGCCCTTCCAACACTCTATCCATGAAACCCCAACCCTCGTCCACCCCTACCCCCCCCCCTCCCAAAACAAAACACTATGCCAACCCTCTAACTTCCACCTCTCATCAGTTGTGACACCTTATTAATTATAATCTAAAATTTATTGAAGCGTGAAAGGAAGATTAGGGATAGAACAGAAGCAACTTTGGAAGTGTCTCACCATTTGCAAAAACTCTTTCAATAACTCAAGCATCAAGCTCAGTGATTTGTTACTCCAATTATTGATTACCTTAAGATGAAGAAGCTTCACGAGAAGAGACAATGTTGAAAACTTCTTGCAGCTTGGGCAAAGTTTCAATTGTGCTTCCTTCAATAATCTATCAATTTTTTCAGCTTCCCATTCAGTTACATTGTCAACGCCATGGTTGTCAAATGTCTGACTCGAACAATTATCCATAAAAGTTCTCCTGTGTACTTCTTCAAGAATTTCTTGTATTTCATCAACATCTCCTTCCACCTTTATAATTCTATCATTATTAGCACCATGTCATCATTGTTATCATCGTAATCAACGCCCACATACATGCTATAATCGAAAGTTTCCCCATGATATACCCACCAAGTGTAACTTTGTAATATCTCATTTTCAAATAGATAATCTTCAACCTTTTTTACAAATCTAAAATACACGTTCATGCATTTACGACATGGGCATCGAATATTATTACCCTGACCCATATGATCACGTGCATACTCAATAAACGATTTAACTCCTTTTTTGTATGCAAAAGAAAATCTATGATTTTGCTGCATGCAACTTCTATACAAACTCAAATCCCTATAACATAGTATCAAACAAGAAAAAAATGAATTAATTCACCAACAAAAAATGAATTATCTTTATATTAGATATAAATATTTACTGTAAAGGTCAATTCGTTGAGTGATAATATATACCCAACCTCCTTCACTCAATGCTAATCTAAGTAAAAAATTTTACAGGATATTTTTGTACAAAAAAAAATTTACTAAAGTCCAATTAATTGAAATAATTTAAACCACAATGTAATCCATAATAGCTAATTCCTAATATATGAATCCAATTATTTAGAAAAAAAAATTATTCCAAACAATTTGAAAAAAATTTATTTCATCACAAAATAGACAAACTTAATTTTCAAGTAATCAATCAAAATAGTTTTAATACATCACAAGTAAATTTTAAAATTTAAATCTAAAAAATTAATTTCAAATGAAATTCATAGTAACCATAACAAATTTTAAAACAATTGAGATATTTCATATAAAATAGGGCTTCAATTTGAAACAAAACCAAATTCTAACTTATAATCAGTAAGTGTTACAACTGATTATAAGTTATATGAAACCACCATGCCAACCCTCTAACCTCCACCTCTCATCGCGTGTTACATCTTATTAATTATAATCTAGAATTTATTGAGGCGGGAAAGAAAGAAAAGAGCCGAAATAGAAGAAACTTGTCATCAGTATCACTATTTGAACATTAGGAATGCTTAATAATTGTAGTATCACCAAATCTAGAATGAAAATAGCAAATAGATTGCTAGATGCCAACCTAATATCAAAAAGTGGTATCCACATCGAAACATTGAGAATAAGGTATAAGAATTAACATTCTAGTAAATTAATGGAAGGGCAAAGTTAGACTAGTACAAAATAACTTTTGATTGGTAAAAAGTACGAACATAGTCCAGATGACATAAACTCCATCATGACCAAGTTCTATATCACTCACACACACACACAGAATCCATAGGTCCATAATTTTGCCGTCAACGAACAGATCCATCTTTCTCTCATATTAGAAAAACACATGACTCCATTACGGTCATTCACTCTCATCATTGGAAAAATGGAAGAGAGATACGTTTGAGCTGGAGAGGTGAAGATTGAAAAGAGGGACGTGAATGAGTGGAAATTTGTTTTTAATAAGATATAGAGTGGAGTTAAAAGTTGAGAAATGTGGGCATTTTAAAATTACAGTTATCTGTGAGTTCAAAACAAAGTTATTCTCATCTAAAGGGGGTAATTAAATAATCAAGCAAAAACTAAAAGGACCAATGAAAAGGTGCCAAGTAAGCTTTTCTAAAACTTTGAAGTTAAAAATTTTGAAAATTAGAGAATCAGGTTTGGAGTCCTCTCCTTATTTGTAGATACATTGATATAGAATATAAAGATCTCTTATCTCTCATTTAAACAACTTAATACCCATAATTAACCACCAGAGATCCACCAAGTTCATCCCTCCCTAACACTCCACCCTTCATTCGCACTTCTGAATGCACCAAGTCCTAACAACCATTCCTTAAACACATTATCCAAGAAACCCCACCCCCTCCTTCCCCTAAAAAAAACACAGGCCTACCATACCTACCTGTAATCTCCACTTATTACAATTGTTAAACCTTATAAATTATAATCTAGAATTTATTAAAGTGTGAAAGAAAGAACATATATTCAGAACATAAACAACTTGTGATCAATATAACTATGATCAATTTGGGATATATAGTATTTCTCTTTAATTATTTGGACATTGGGAATGCTTAATAATTGTAGTATCACCAACTCCAAAATGACAACATGAAATAGATTAACCACCAGAGATCCACCAATGTATATTTCTTAGTTGCCTCATATTCTTCGTATCCACTTTTCTATTTTGATTTCAAAAAATAATAACCAATTGATATTATTTATCTTTTTCTTTGGGTTTGGCTATTATAAAATTTCTAAATTGTAGGGTTTAATTATTTTTCTATGTAAGAATTCATACACGTCCCCAAATCGTATCACATTTAGAAAGAGACTTAAATTTTCAAACTTAAATAAAATTGAATTTATTAACTTGTACATATTCTCACCATTCAACAAAAAAAAAATCCATGCAGTATTCACAAATTGAGAGGAGCAAACCTCTTTTCCCAAGAGCTTTTCCTTCAAACTCAATTAAAGATCCAAAATATGCAAGGACATCTAGCTAGCCTTGACCAGTATATAGCTTGTTGATTCTTTCAAATCAAAAAAATATTTTTTTTTTTGGTACATAATCAGAAAAATATTTGAATTGACATTTTGAATGAGATTTAGTTTTTTTTGGTACATAATCAGAAAAATATTTGAATTGACATTTTGAATGAGATTTAGAGTAAATGTAAAATCTCATGTAGACCCACACTTCGATGCTATCATCTCATTAATATTTCATCCATAAGGTCACATCTTTAATCTTATTTCCCATTAAAAAATAAGGTTACATGACACTCTGTATAAGAGAAAAAGTTTTTAATAAAAGAAAATCGTATCTCACACATTATACATCCCTATCAACATTTGATTGATACGTAGAGCTCTAGCAAGCATGTTTAAGAAAAATTAACTACACTTCTTGCAAGCTCGCTCAAGAAAAAAAAAGATCAATACTAAGGAATAGTACCCATGCAGCCACAAGAAGGTTGTTTCATGGACCCATAGAAATTTGAAACAACCAAATTAGTTCTCATAGAACAATGAGAGAATTAACATGTATGACATATTAAAAATATAGACCAACAAAAGTGAGACCCATATCACACATTTTTCTTTTAGCAGTTTTAGCTTAAACGTCTCTTCCCATATGTACATAATGGTTGAATTGAAATTTGAAAAACAAGTGCTATCACACACGACAATGTGATCAAAAAACAAGCGATGCTGGTGAGCGTTCACCAGTTGTTGCACCTTATTAATTATAATGTAGAACTTATTAAAGCGTGAAAGAAAGAATATAGTTAGAATAGAAACAACTTATTTGTTTCATTATTTGGACATTGGGAATGCTTAAAAATTGCAATTTCACTTACTCCAGAATGACAATATCAAATAGATTTCTAGATGCCAACCTACTATTCAAAAACTAGTATTTCACATCGAAACATTGAGAATAAGGAATAAAAATTGACATTTTATTAAATTAATGGAAAGGTAAAATTAAAATATTACCAAAAGTAACTTTTGATTGGTAAAAAGTATGGACCTAGTCCACTTTAGATTAGGGATGTCAGTGGACCGAAGCGGGGGGGGGGGGTAGTCTTCATCCCCATACTCACTTAAAAAATTTTCGTTTATCCCCGGTCCACCCTCATTAACGGGTATAATTTTTATCCTCACTCTCGCCCCATCCCCCACCTTCACTTCTGCCCCCACCCTCGTCCACCTTACCCGCTCAAGCCTAAGCTAATATATTCTAAAATTCTAAATAAATATAGCATTCTAAATAATGCAACATAATTATAAAATATCATAACATAATTAAAAATTTATCATTTACGATATAATATAATTAAAATCTTGACTATAACACAATCTAACAAAATATAATTAAAAATTTGTATCCCTTATAAATTTAACACAATATCATACAATACAATATAATGTAACATAGCATACCCCAATATGAAAAAATATAAAAACACAAAAATCTACACTTTTACAAATCAAAACTATGAAAAAATAAAAAAGTAAAACAATTTTCTTATCGAAGCCAGTGGTGTAGATCACTTACTCAACCTATTTTTGATTCCTGAAATATTGCTATTTTAATAAGAAGCCAGTGGTGTACCAACGTTGTACATCTACGTGACATCACTTACTCAACCATTTTGAGATACCAGATATATTGCTATTTGAATAAGAACCCAGTGGTGTACCGAACAAAAGTAAACAAAAAAAAAAAAGAATGGTGTACTTATCGAAGGAAACAAAGAACAATGATTGCACAAAGATGACAATAATTGTTTGGTTCCTCGTGATAAACGAAAAGATAGCAGGTACAGAATCCTTTTCTTTTGCTCTCTCTTCTCTCTCTCTCTCTCTCTCTCATATCTGGATCCACTGCAATTAATTTTTTAACACCAGGAATGCTATTCACAAAAAAATTGACACCGTGTTGTATATCCATCTAAAAATTGCACCGCTGTTGTATATCAGCGGATCTAGAATCATATCTTTCTCATTTTTTTTTCTTCCAAGTTAAAATTATCATCATGAGTCCTATATACGAGTAATACTATTAAGATCAAATTTATTAATTTGATTTACTAATTTAATTCACTATAGTTTTTGAGTTGATTGTGAGTTCCATCAAATCATTGATCTTGATGTTGATCCAATTATTTTAATGGAGTCGCATTACTAGGTCAATAAATTAAGTCAGATTTTGAGATTTAAATAGTATTACTCGATATATATACATGTACTAGTGGCGGTCCAGGAATACATGAAATTTATAATACCTATTAAGTTATTTGAAAAAAATATTTATTAATGTGTTAATGTGACATTTGATTTGTGTTAATTTTTGGCAGTTCCATTTTCAATTTATTTCATATTAATGTCATGTACTCGTGTTAACAGAAAAATGATTCAATTTTAAAACTATCCATATAACAATATGTAAAAAAATTATAATGGCATATTTTCTTCATAAAATAACAGTTAATCGGGATTATTAGTGTTTACTATAAGGTAGACCCATTTGTTATTTCTGCTAAAATATCAATTCAACATTATTATCATTATATAAATTTGGAAAGTCTAATTCAGCATAGGCCATGTAATTAATGCTATGTGCAAAAATGACATGGATATAAAGCCAATTGCAACTTGGGTGGATATCAGAGAAAGAAGAAAATTTAAACCGGCAACCCTCATTGATGATCCCCACCCTTAGTTGTGTACTCTTAAAAATACTTATAACACCCTTTATTTACCTAAATTAACTATTTAATATCATATTTTAAACTACACTTAATCGTTTGAATTCATAAAAACTACCTAATGTCCTTTCTAACCTTATTCAACCACCTATATCTCCCTTCACATAGATAATTGTGTGTGCGCGAGACATCTAATTATTATGAAGGTAGAGAAATGAATTTGACATTCACTCTTAAAATACTTATAATAATCCTACTTTATTCTATGTTGACATTCATAACTCACTCTTAACTGTCCATAATTACCTGAGCAATACTTTAGATTAGGTCCAATAAAATTTTACTATAACTTTTTCCCACTCTCTCTCTCTCTTTAAATCTCATTTTTTTACAGTCCCTCGAATTTAATATAGCCAAGACACATGGTGAAAGGAACTGACAGCGTTGAACATACTCAATTACATCAAAAGATTGACTATATACAGTGAATAACAAGCATCTTTCGAAAGAAAAGTCAACATCCGTCAGTTGGAAATATTGCACTATATATTGATCTTATTTTCTGCCTTCTTTGGCTGCATATGAAGAACTCTCTCTCTATCTCTCCCCTTAGGTTAGTCTTCTTGGAAGTTCGTCATCTTTAACATGGGGAAAGCTAAAGAACAGTCACCAAAGATTGAAGGTGAGTAGACTTTTTTCTTTCTAGTTGCTATATTAGTCAGATTAAAAAAAAAAGCAAAAGAAAGGAATGATGGAGCTCATAGTTATTATTTGAGAAAAATTTTAGTGTGTTTAACATACGTGATATTGTTAGGTAGTGTATATAATCAATTAATATTTCACTATAAGAAAATGGACTTTTAGTGGTAGTATTTAATTTGCGGCTAAAAATGTTGCCACTAGAAATATGTTATTAGTGGTGAAAAATTATTATTGTTCTTAAAAATAGAATGTGAATCTAATTAGTGACAATTTTAATATTGCAGCAAAAGCAATCACTAATTCGTCACTAATATTCAATATCTAGTGACAACAATTTAGATTGCCACTGATTGCCTATAATTTTAGTGGCAACAATTTTTTCTCGCTACAATTTTTTCTAGCCTCTAAATGTCATAATTTTATTGGCAACAATAATTGCCACTACTTAATCTAAACAAATTTAATCACCCGTAACGACCTCATTTTAAAATGAAAGGACATTTTGCTTCCTATTTCCCTCACTCTCTGTTTCTTTCAACATCGAGATTCAACTCTCAAACTTTCCCCCCCTTTCTCGATCGACAATCTTGCATATCAAAGGTGCCGCCTGCAATCGTCCGAGCACCATGAGTGTGGTTTCTTGCGTTGTTGTCCTCCTGTCATCTCTGTGTTTGTGTTGAAGCTTTGAGGTAGGATTTTCCTTTGGATTTTTCTATTTTTGCCTTCAGATTTTCTATTTTCGTTTTCAGATCTTCAATTTTCATCCTCCCATTGATAATGCTCATTTCTGTCCCTTGGAATGGTGGATATCATGTCTAATTTATTAAATTCAAAGTTGATTATGACCTTTGGTTCTAGTTTTTTGTTGATTTTGAAATATTTGGTATTTGATTGATGGAATCTTAAACTTTCTCAGTTAATTGTTTGATAAAATTTTTGCACAAGCAATATAATAGTGAGGTTGATGTGTTGGGATGTGGTTTCGTGCTCTGATTGATCAGGAAATTCAGGATCTCCGATTGATACTAATTCCTTCTATGTGGCGGGTGATTATTGAGAAGAAAGCCTAATTAGGATTTCCGTATTGGAATCCGGCTCGTCCCAATGCTCCGTTCTTCACATCCGGTAACATCGTAAAAGAATTTATCGCCAAACAGGTTTCTTCTTTTTTCTTCTTTTCTTTTCTTCTTATCTTTGTATGTGTGTGGTTAAGTGCATGTTGTTTTGTGTTCTAATTTATCCCTTCTCTCTTTTTTTTTTTTTGTGGTTTACAAGTGGATACCTATCTGACAAGCTCTTAGATGTTCTTTTGCTTCCAATTCTATTTGTATACTTAATTCCTCTATATCGAGTATTTTTGCAATGCAAATCTTGTTCATGCTTAAACATTTTTATACAACTCCCTAATAAATGTATGATGACATCTTGCATCTCTTTACCTTTTTTGTTTGACACCATGTCCATTTTGTTCATGAATGATAATAGGCTGATTCGATGCATGTTCATGGTGCTGTGATCACAAGAATAGATGGCATCCAAATGTTTGACCGCATTGGGGCTCAAATATAGGTGAAGCATACACAAGTTATAACCATTCAATTCGTTATGCCATCTCTAGGTTCATTCAATTGGTTATACACAAATATAGAACGCATATTTCTTGTCTGATCCAAGTCAATTGATGATTTCCTTCTTTATTTGATTGGTAAATTGCCTTCTGTTCAGCCTGCAAATACATTATAACCATTCAATTTGTGATCACAATGGTTCTCCTATAGAATTCAGGATCAAGCTAAGAAATCTCTACATGAAAATTAAATGGCTCCTTATATATCTTGCCTTTACAGCCTCCAGAAGTTTTGGATCATCGCAGAAAAGAACCCATGTCATGACACTGGCAGTGGTGTCTTGAGCAGTAAAAAGAACTCCAATTATGTTGTCTGAAATTTGTTCTTCATTTCTCTCTCTTATTACAAAATGGTCTCAAAGCAGCTTTTGCACCTCTGTAATGACTGATGCACATCAGTGAAGGATAAAGTGGAGACTGAGGAGAGGACAAAGAAAGCAAAGGTTGAGAGCAGTGGCGAGGCTGAGAAGCAAGTAAAGGTGGAGCCTGTTGCGGGGACGTCGACGCCGGCAACGGAAGTGAAGCAGGAAGGTGAGGGAGAGCCAAAGAAGGAGGATTTGAAGATGACTGACGCTAAGGAGGACGAGAAGAATGGGCCTCCAGGTTCTTCTCTTTAATCTCAACACCTTTTCAATAGGTCTCTGTTTGTGTGTATAAATGTGTTCATATACCCTAATTTTAGTTATTTATTTATGCTCATGATATATCGATGTTCATTGGCGATGAACAACATAAGGGGTTTTGTTCCTAAAGCCTGAAACGTAGCTCTATTCTGTGGGTGTGTGTTGTGTGTTTGTTTTTGTGCCTAATTTTACTTGTGCGTATTAATTTCAGGAATATTAATTTTAATCCATTTGGTTGCCGATTAAAACTAAAAAATGTAATGTGAATTTGCTCTAGATTTGCTTAATATGGATAGGGCGAAAGGGTGCACGAGATTCTTTTCCTAAATGTTGGAACTTGCTTTATTATATGTGTATATGTCTGATTATGTTTTGCATTTACGTTTGTGTTTGTGTTGTATATTCCCTGGCCTTGTATTTATTTGTGATGATTGGGAAAAGAGAAAAAGAATGAACTGTGATATTTTTGTGGCTTTATCCTTGTGGATTTTCATTTTGCTAATGGATGCTACCATACTAAGATATATAGTAGTTAAACTTAAGTTTTTTTTTACACAACTTGGATCTATTGATGCTGCAGGATATGGTGACTGATGAACTTAATTCTAGAGCTAAATGATAATGTTGTTTTGATTGATAGAATCGTGGGAGAAGTTGATGTGCTCTTTGTACAAGTTCACACTTCCCTTCTTAAAACTGTTCTTTACAATTTGTTACCTTCATAATGGTTTTCTGTGAAGTTAGAAGACAGAACTTTTGTAAAATAATGATGAATGCTTGATTGCTTAGATTGGGATCAAAACAGATTGAAAAGTGAAAATCTCGTGAGAGGGTTTAATTGAATTTCTAAATATGAAACTTCATCAGTTTTTTAGGACTTGCTATGAATAGTTTTCGTAGAGAAAATTCGAGACTGATGCTACCAGAAACATGGATCAAAATCTAATGTGGAGTAGTCCCCCTTAATCTTGAGATGTTACAAGGGTGCCCGCTCTTTGGAATTATTTGTGGGCCCTGTGAGAAGTGTGATTTCTATGACTTCGCTAAGAATGTTTGTTTGTTTTTTGGGGGGAGGATAAATTGGCAAATGCTGTTATTTTGCATTACTGATTACTGTTTTTTTCGTTTCTTCGTTTTATTAATTGGCCAGCTCCCAATAAAGGCAATGGCCTTGGTCTTGAGAAGTATTCTTGTGTCCGCTCTTTGCCAGAGGTCACTATTAATGTCCCTCGACCTTCTGGAACAAAATCGGTGTCTGTTGTGTGCGAAATAAAGAAGAACCATCTGAAAGTAGGTCTCAAGGGTCTGCCTCCGATAAATGATGTAAGTTTGTTGAGATGTTTTTCTTTTATTTGGGTGATGTTGTGGAGTAAGATTATTTCGAATATTGTATATCTGTCAGTTTGATATCTTCACGTCAAATCATGTTTGTTCACATACTTGCAGGGTGAGCTCTATAAACTTGTAAAACCTGATGATTGCTATTGGAGTCTAGGTATCTTTCTTCACTGACAGTCCTCTACATGGCCAATTTCTTAAAAACTGAGCAACATTTGATTTGGGGATCAGTACATTGTCTCTATGTTGGGCGTGTTCATATTCCAATTTGGAGAGAAATGCTTTTTCCATTAATTTTTGGTGATTTCAACTAATTTCATTTCAAGAATTCTGATACAGATGCTCGTTTTTTGTGAACTGGGTACAGAGATGCTGACTGATGCACATTTCCCTCTCTTCAGGTTTTAGTGGTTAAACTGTCCAACAGTGGTCACCACTATAGCTTGAAACTTACTTTTAATTATTGAATGCAAAAAATGAGCAAAAGAAACAAGGTGAACCGAGCAAAACAGGACATGGGCCATATTGTTGGGGTGAAGAGTTTTGCTCCGTAAGTTGTTTTTTAAATGTCTATTGCACTTGTGTGATTAGCTATACACATGTATACATTCATATTTATTTAAATTTTTTCTATTAATGTTTAATGCATGACAGCATGATCTCAAGATTGAAGAGGGGCCCAACCATACAGAACTGTGGTTAGCAACCAAGTTTAGTAAGAAGAGGAATGCTTGGGTTGGCAGGAGATCAAGAAATCCAATAACCTTCCAAAAATAGAATATATAGTTGTGACTTGAGACTTTATGATGATTGTTATGTAATTACTTTCTTTTGAGTGAGTATCATTGTTTAGTTGCAATGACAATTTGAAATTGTGATCATAACATTTTTTGTTCATTTATAGTATTTGATGATTATGCGTTGTATACATACAATTTAGTGATACTAATATCAGAATATTATTTTCACGTAATTTGATTTAAAAATTATATCTTTGAAAGTGAGTGTTTATTATGTTATTTGTTTCCTTATTAGGTATATATATATATATATATTGATTCATTAAAGTATAACATGTATGTGAAATTGGAAAATATTCAACAATAAATTCTTTCAAATATGTTATAGATTTTTTTTCTATTAATTTCAATGTATTAACCGCGACAATAAGTTGTCACTAAAAGCATGTTCTAAATTTTAGTGGTAATTTTAGTTGTAGGTAAAATGTATATTTTTAGCCGCGATTAATTGTTGTCACTAATAGTCAAGTTTTAATCGAATTTTTAGTGGTGACAAGGTACATTTCAGTGGCAAAATTACGGTAACTTGCTACAATAATTATTGCGGTTAAATATTTCATATTTAGTGACATTTTTCATGTTGCGGCTAAAAAATTTATTTTTAGTGGCAACAAATTAAATGTTGTAGCTAAATGATTTAGCGACAGACATAAAACTGCGGCCTAGTGGCAATAAAAAAATTGTCACTAAAATATATAGTGACAATTTTTATACATTTAGCCGCAATAATTTTTGCGGCTAAAAGACCAATTTCTTGTAGTGTTTGTATATTTTCAAAAATTATTATCACTAATTAATTTGATAGAAAAATGTTAAAAAAATTCTATTTGTGCGTCTGATAAGTTGGGGTTGTGTTAGCTTCTCCAAGTGTGTCCCCCTTGCACTGTCAAGCTGTATGTTCAACCCATTAAAAATTTTCTCATACGATTGTTACGAAGGGTAATTTTAGTATCTTGTTGTAAAGGGTAAAAATTAAGGATACCTCCTACAACAATAAAGATTGAACGTTTCTGATAAGGGTAAGTTCTGAACTTAATCTCCCAATATTTGCTTCTTGCAAAACGAACAAACTGCCCAAAATCAAAGTACTTCAATCGAAGGCACTCCGATGCTTAAGTCAGTAATAGAATTGAAAAAATTGCAAGAAGACAAAGAGAGTTCAGCGTATCTTTCACCTTGGCTCCTTATGTCTTTTATAGAGGCTTTTTTCAGTTAGGGTTTCCATGATTTTTGATTCAAGGTGGTACATATTCCCCTAATCAGGTGATTCTGTTCAGAAAATTGCTAAGATCTCTCCCGCAATTCCTTCTACTAAGCCTATTCATTTAACCAGAATGCCTGAATTGTAGGCATCTTTTTAGCACCACGTTACTGTTTTAAACAGTTTGATCGTGACAAAGACCGAGCTCATTCCTTCCTTTCCAAGCTTTTTGATCGGCTCAATTGTTATTTGATGACAACTTGGTCGAATCTCATCCTCTACTCGGCCGGGACAACCTAGTTGTCTGTTCGGTTGAGTTTTATCCTCTACTAGATTGGACCAATTTTAGCTCGGGTGGGATAACCTAACTACTTGCTCTGCTCGGTCCGGATAGTCTAGCTACTTACTCTCCTCGACCCAGATAGCCTAGCTACTTGTTCTATTCGGCCCGGATAACCTAGCTACTTGCTCTGCCCCAGCTCGGATAGCCTAGTTACTTGTTCTGCTCGACTCGGATTACCTAGCTACTTGTTCTACTAGGCCCGGATAGCCTAACTACTTGCTCTGTTGTAACGCCTCAAAAATCACCTTAGAAGACATTACCTTCTAAAATCATTCATACCATGAGAACAACAAATAAAATCCATAAATAACTGGGAGTCCTTAATTTAATAAAATTTAGGCAGAGTCTCCTTTATTCGAGGAGTTCTACCCAAAACACAACCTGTGTAATTATACTACATTGACCACATCGGGTCCATTTATCCCTAAAATATTTATAACATTATCCAAAAGAATAAGCCTAAACCAGGCTACTACATCAAAAGAATTACATTTGAACTTAGCAGCGGAATAAATAAAATATTAGACTTTATATAATTGTACATAATCGTTCCTAATCTAGCACAAAAATAAACGACATCTCTAGATGTCCCACTCGAGATCCAAATACCCCTCTAATGAGGCTTCTCTATGGCTTGGCTCGTTAGCACTGAGCTCTTCTTCTGGCTCATAATCTGTAAAATGTTTAACCGTAGGGGGTGAGCACGAAGTTCTGTAGGAAAAATTCTCCCAAACTCGAACAAGATTTAGAAAACAGATAAAAATCGGTCGGTCTCATTTCGTAAATAACATATATCAATTTTGAAGGAAAAACATGACATTTTAAATAGATTCCAAGTTTAAGCCATAACAATAATCAAGTACAAGAGTAAAGTCAATCCCACCATAAATAACCATTTCAAAGAGTAATTATTTTCATAACAATTTTCAAGATAATCATATCCAAAAGATAACGCAATAAACAATAACCACAATGTATCTCAAGTCTGATGTAAAATAATCACATGAATAAACACATAGAGAATATCCTGGCCCACACACACACAATTCATCGCAAGGATATCAACTTCGGGCAGGGCGCCTACCGACGCATTGTCTCATACCAATGCACCGACAATAACGAATCCGACCCAGACATAGTATACTAATCCTCTGACACGGAACCCGTGAGCTAATAGTGGTTTGGTCCTCGCAAGGCACCAACCCCACTACGAGTGGTAAGAAAAGTTCAAACCCGCACGGAGTAAGAACCACGCACATCTATCCACTCTATGATACCCGGTCAACGACCACCCATGGTCATTCAAACACCTCTATGAGATACAATTACCAACAATTTCTCAACAAAAGTTTATAATTTTCAAAACCCCCAAATTCCATAGGTATTTCTCAAATCACATTAAATCTCAAAAATCCCCAATTTTCTCCCATATAATTCCAATAGAACAACTTAAGAAAAATATGCAAGAGATCATCAAACATATATTTTTATTGTTAAAACAAAGCACTAGGGTTTTAAAATCAAGAATTAAGGAATATCAAGTAGAAAAATCTCTATTTCTTAAAAGAAACAAGAGTTTTGAGATTTCAAGGATTTCATGACTATCAAACTATAACTTTATTTCAAACATGATAATATTTGCAAGAGTATCAAAAAAATAATAATTTCATAACATATATCTAAGATTTAGAAGCAACATATACATAGATATAAATCATAACCTCAATGTAGGAGAATGAGAAGAAATTCCTACCTTGAATCAAAGTTCCAAACCAAAACCCAAGCTTTAGAGCCTTTCTTCTTCCCTTTTCTTTTTCCCTTTTTCTTCTCCTATGGTTCTAAGAGGTTTGGGGTGAAAGATGTGGGAAAAAAATGGAAGAAAATGGCTGAAATCTGTGTTTTAAACACAGCAGTCCCCGATAGTATCTGTTCACAGGCTGATTTTTGGGTTTTCTCCAAAATTACGGTTTTACCATTAAAAATTTTCAATTTGATCCATATGACTACCTTAAAGTTTTTCGACGTTCCAGATTCATTTTTAATGTTATTTTAACCTAAAAATATTTATTTTTATGATTTATTTCAAAATTAAAATAAATTTACACTCGAAACATTAAAATTACTATTTTATTCCTCCTCAGTATTTATTCTTATGGTTTCAATATATATAGTTTATTCTTACGTCATTACATATATAAGAATCACTAAACAAGTACATTACTATATTAATATAAACATGTGAGAGTTTACACCTTCTAAGTCTAAGAAGAAAGCACAACACTTTACTATCCAAATAACACCACAGTGCAGATTTTTTTATCAACTTCGGAGAATAAACTGATTTGACTCAGGTAGTTCTAGTATATGGTTGAAAAAATATACGAGTTAGGGTTCTAGCAAAAATAACGGTGCACAATTTGGACTTTCCAACAAAGAGTTATGATCAAATTGGTGAAAGGTAGTCTGCCGGACTGCTTGGTTCTTATATACTTATTTGGCATCAAAATATACTTATTATTCTTATATTTTGATTTAGAATGTAAATAAAGACGTTAAATGCAAAACGAAGCTAATTGGACGATTGTTGATAGTTTAGAAATGTGGGGGTTTACTATTGAATAGCCTAGCTACTTGTTCTACTCGGCTCGACCAACTTTAGCTCGGCCGAATAGCCTAGGTACTTGCTCGGTCATAGTAGAGTCATTGTAAATAACTCTTTTCAACATGTGCAACGTGTCACGTGTCCAAGTCTAATTGTCAGATGATGGTTAGAATTTATCGACCCCTTCATTTGCCCCCAGAGAATATATTTCATGTGCCACACTGAAAGATATTCTTTGTTTACAATCCTCTCTCATTAATTGCCTTTGTATTATTCATTATGAAAATATGCTTTTTTGTGTCCTCTTTCCGTAGCAAAGAGGTGTTACATCAATGAAGAGCTCGGGAGTTCAATACTTAAAAATTTCAATCATGGCCCCCTTCCCCTAGCCAAGAGGACCTGCCTCTTTGAAGGGTTCGGACATCAATTCTTGGTCGCTTATTGTGACCTTTGCACCGATCCGCCGATCTAATCGGTCTTCAAACTTTACCCGTTTGGCTTACACCATCGTGCCTAGCCGTGAGCCTAAGTTTGATCGAATGGCTGCACTTGAGCTAGGTCCCTCCCTCTACTAGGAATTTTTTCCTTCCTGCCTTAGCAGTAGGTTATCTTATGCCCGAGCCTTCTCGGGTCTTTCATGTGGCAGGTACTCCACAAAAGAATTAGCTCTGAAGCTTAATCCTATTTGTTCACTGTAAGTACTCCATGGTGATGTTGTGACATCTCTCATATGGTAGGTACTCTTCAAAAAGATTAGCTTTGAAACTCAACCTTATCAATTCGCGGGGGGTACTCCGCTGTTAGATGTCTTTCGTGTGGCAGGTACTCCACAAAGATTAGCTCTAAAGCTCAATCTTATCAATTCACAGGAGGTACTCCGCTGTTAGATGTCTTTCATGTGGCAGGTACTCCACAAAGATTAGCTCTAAAGCTCAATCT